GGGAGAGGGAGAGGGAGAGGGAGAGAGAGAGAGAGAAACATCAATGATGAGAGAATCATTGATCGGCTGCCTCCTGCACATCCCCCACTGGGGATTGAGCCCGCAACCCAGGCATGTGCCCTGACCAGAATCAAACCATGACCCCCTAGATCGTAGGTGCATGCTCACTCGCTGAGCCATGATGGCTGGGCTCTGCAGCAAGTTTAACGCTTGCTGGCCAAGCCACACCCCAGCTGTATGCATTTGTTTAAGAGCTGTGACTGGTGAATGCCCAAACTTACTAGACCTATTCATNAGGGAGAGAGAGGGAGAAAAACATCGATGTGAAAGACAAATCAATTGGTTGCCTCCCACACTCAGGGATTAAACCTGCTACCCAGCTACATGCTCTTAACCAGGAATTGAACCCAAGACCCTTCAGTGCATGGGTCAATGCTCTAACCACTGAGAAACACTTGCCAGGGTAATTAAACTTTCATACATACTTAATTTTAATTACACAAACATGTCTACATAAGTAAAAACAGCTATACTACCTAATTTGTCAATTTTTAACACACACTGGGGAAACCTACTTTATTATATAAAGGACTTTCGGCTTTAACAGACACCCCTTCGCCCAAATTAGTCCATCATATCGAGGTTTCACTGTATACTTATTAAGTGATAAATTGATCATTAACTTAATAAAATATCTATGGTTGTTTTAATGAGATTCAGAAACTATTTTCATAACTTAAAAAAACTTGGATAAGTACATGAGCTATGTAACAACTATGCCAAATGTGCAAATGCATAAAGAAAACATCCCTAAATCCCTTGTGGATTAATAAAAATGCATAATCAAACAAAATCATGGTGAACAATTAATCCATTTTTTCCAGAAAGTGTGACTCACAAAAGTGTTGAAACTCTAGCTTCTGAGCTAATGGATCAAGACCAATCCAAGTCAATTTAGTATGCTTAGTGCTGTTATGCAAACAATATGAATCAGTAATTGCAACTTATACATCTTTCTGTTTCTCTTACTATTCTTTGAAGACAGTGGGAGAGACAAACTTAAAATATCTATTATGTCTTGCTAGAGACTTGCAAGTTTCCTTTACACTATTGCTGCACAATTGTTAGTTGTTACTGGGCATGTTACTTCATTTAGATTTTAATTCTAAATGTTCAAACATAAGGTTGGTTGGTTGGTTTGTTTAGACAGTAGTTTTTCTTTAAATTACTCATACCTGTGGAAGTAATATTCTAATTTTATTTATAAAAATTAAATATGACTAGTTTTATTAAATTATAGAAACACTGAAAATCTTGGATTTATATTGATCATTCGTTGTTTGACTTGTATATTTTAAATTTTACAAACATACAGGAAGACATTACGAAGCTAAAGGATAAAATTACAACTATAAAAGCATCTATAATTGAAAAAACTTGTTTTCTTGAGGAAGAAAATAAGACACATGAAAAATTAAGAAAAGAAATAGAGGTAAGTCTTAATCACCTGGATTTCAATGTTTTATGGAATCCTTTCTTAAACTTATACTATATTGATCTTTCCACAGTTTACTCTTAATCCCCAAACAGCCAGAGAACAATAAAGAGCTATATAGAGCATTCGATAAGAACAAATCATTAATAGATCATTGGAAATAACTCCCTCATTCGAAAATATTCAGATATGAATGTATTCAGACAAAACAAGCACTTACTCCTATTTAAATCTGGCCTAAAATTTTTCCAGGTCTCATTCCACCAACAGCCTGGTACCCAATTAATCGATAGAAAACAGAGACTATTGAGTCAAAATGACCAGTCCTAGACATATCAGAGACTCCTCAAAATAGAGTAAAAGGCAATGGAAGTCAGTATTACAAACCCTTCCAACTTCATATTTGCAATTATTGAGTTCAATTTAAAAAACTGATACGCAAAATTAAAAGAGACTAAATTTGGGTACCACTGGTAGACTGCAATAGTCATTATTGTTTAGATGAATGGAAATGAAAATGGAGAAGAATATGTTGTTAAGAGCAAATAACTAATTTTCATCCTTAAGATATTAATTTGGAAAATAAAAAGATATATCTTTAACTTGCTTGTGACTAGTGTAATACAATTAAAAAGCATATGAGTTGCTCTGGCCGGGTGGCTCAGGTTGCGGGTTGGATTCCCAGTCAGGGCACATACCTAGGTTGTAGATTCGATCCCCCATCGGAGCACCTACAGAGGCAATCGATCAATGTTTCTCCCTCACATAGATATTTTGTTCTCCTCTTTCCTCTTTCTCTAAAATCAATTAAAAAAAACAAAAATACATATCATTGGATGGGGATTTTAAAAAATCTGTATATTTATACTTTCATAAAAATATTTAACCATACTCTTTAAACAGCAGTAACAAATAGAAGTTACATGACATATACAAATGGCAGCAAGTGAATGCCGAGTCCCTTAAGTGCAGTATATTCTCCAGGGTAGAAAAATGAGATTGTGTGAGTGTTTGTTACATAATATGGAGAAATTGTGAACAATACAGAATTTAGCAATATATTTTACATAAATAGAGTTCTTCTCTAAATAGGGTAGCAGCCTTTGATTTACAAAAACTGTCTCATTTTACTTATGTATTCATTCATTAATTCGTTCAACATATTTATTGAGTTCATACTATGTGCCAATTACCCTTTTAAGTGCTTACAGTAGAGTGGTGAACAAAGTAAATTGATAAAAGCCCCTTTCCTCATGGAACTTGTGTTCTAGTTGGAGAGACAGACATAAACAAGATATACAGTAAGTTATATAGCACCAGCTGTGGCTGGTGCTCTAGAGTCACACTAAGGGGAACTTGCACATCTCTTTTCTGATCTGTTGTGTGTTTATTTCATATGTTACCTACTGAAGGAAAATTTCAGAAGCAGGTTAATATGCAACCAACCACATTTATCGATTAACCAAACATTTTTTCCAGTTATTTTATATGTAAAATAAAGACATTATGAAGCTAAAGGACAGGTTATATATAGACATATGTAATATATACATATATATCAATGGATATATATCTTTTTGAATATATTCAATGTATAAAAATCTTTTGAACATAGCTCCATCATTAGGTATGATAATTAAGAAATTAAGAATAAGCTGATAATATTTCAGTTTATACCATATTTATTTCTAATCCTTTTAAAGTCATTTTCTACTTTCCAACATATCATCAGGCCTCATTCACCAATTTCAATGAATTACCTTCATTTGAAGAATTACCAAAAATTTAAAATTTAAAAAGATGTCTAAAGTTTATAGCAATTTATGTGAAGTGTTAGTTCACAAGTTTTCACCTTGTTTTTATAACAGTATTTTGGAATGCTTAAAGTATCTTTGTCCCAGCTCCTCTGCTCTTCTGCGGCATTGTGCTTCAATATAATTGGTCTCCTTTGTAATGCTGTATGTTTTACTTTATGCATTTAAAACATTATTCTGAGGAGTCCGTAGTCTTCACTATACTGTCCAAATGATCCATGGCCTAATAAAGGTAAAGAAGCCCGGAACTAAGGGAGGAGCTGGGAAAGAAAGGGGGAGAGTTTTCCTGGGGGAGAAATAGACAAGATTCAACATGTAGTACAATCTGGTCCCCAATGACAGCTGAAGGGTAGAAAAGGGAGACAGGTTGGGGACAGAGTCTTAAGGCCCCAGAAACCAAGAGTCTTGTCTTCCTACATCCTTCTTAGGCTATAAACTTATTTTTGACATATGTTATCTTGATAAATTTGGTGAATTGGTGTTTTGAGAAATTGATCCTTATTTGAATTGACTTAGAACCACCCTCCTGACTTGCAAGAGCATTCCCTTAAATAGAATTAAGAATGAAGAAGTAGCTTCTCAGCACTGTTATTCTGTCAGTTCATTTAAAAGTAGGTGTTTTACTACAGTGAAATGCCACTTCACACACACTAAGATGGCTGTGTTATAAAAAAGACAGATAATAAGTATTTTCAAGGATGTGAAGAAATTCAAACCCTTACACATTGATCATGGGAATGTAAAAATGGAAAACAGTCTGTTAGTTCAAATGGTTAAATATAAAGTTACCATATCACCCAGTAATTTCACTCCTAGGTATGTATGTACCCCAGAGAAAGGAAAACATGTCCACACAAAAACTTGTACATGAGTGTTCATAGCAGTATTATTCATAGTTAACAGAAAAGTGGGCACAACTGAAATATTTGTGAATTGATAAAGTGGATAAGTAAAATGTACTATATTATACAATGGAGTATTATTAGGCAATAAAGGGGAATGGAGTACTGATACACGCTAAAACATGGATGGTCCTTAAAAACGTGCTAAGTGAAAGAAGCAAGTCACAAAAGACCACATATTATATGATTCCACTTTATAAAATGTCCAGAATAGACAAATCTGTATAAAGAAAAAGTAGATTAGTGGTTGCCTGGTGCTAAGGGTGGGGGTGGGGAAATGGGGAGTCACTATTAATGGGTACTAGGTTTCATTTTGGGCTAATGAAAATGTTCTAAAATTGATTGCGGTGATGGTTGCACAACCCTGTGCATATACCAAAATCCATTAAATGGTATATTTTAAAGGATGGATTATATGGTCTGTGAATTATATCACAATAAAGCTGTTTAAAAAAAAAAAGTTCTTTGTATAGCCAACACTAATCTCAGAAATTACAACTTTTTTGTTCGCTTGTGCCCTGACACCAAAACCCTTGCACTTTTCACTGTGCTTCATTGCCTTCCAGTGTCACATTGTCTGGCTCAGCATACATACACTTCTACTTACTGGCAGGGAAATGGACAAGATCTAGACCTTTTAGATCAATGAGTCTGTATTTCAGTGAACCACCAGAAACAGAAACAGCCATTACTGTTAACTGGTAACTGCTTGTTCAGTAGAAGGCACTCTATCACAGAAGTTTCACTTGGGTTCAAATGCCAAACATCATCACTTACTAGCTGGGAAACGGTGGTCAAATTAATCTCTTTACCTTTTGTTTCTTTATACAAAAATGGGTATTATAGCCCTGGCTGGTTTGGCTCAGTTGTTAGAGCATCAGCCCTCGGACTGAAGGGTCTTTGATTTGATTCTAGTCAAGGGCACTTGCCTTGGTTGCAGGCTCGATCCCTGGCCCCGGTCTCAGTGTGTGCAGGAGGCAGCCAATCGATGTGTCTCTCTCACATTGCTTCTCTCTCTCTCTCCCTTCCACTCTCTCTGAAAAGCAATGGAAAAAATATCCCCAGATGAGGATTTAAAAATATATATATCATAATATCCACATCATAAGGTATTATAAGAATTTAATAATACATAAAAAGTTCTCAGCACAGTATCTAACATGTAATAAGTATCAAACAGTTATAATTACTGTTTATTTTATTACTATTTACAGTGATTAATTTCTAATCAAGTACTTCTCTCTTTAGAGTAGTCAAAACATTCCTTCTTACTGTTTACTATTTATCCTTCTCAAGCCCCATCAATGTGTATTCTTCTTTTCATAGGTACAACATAAGAGATATGGTGCAATTCTTAAGCGTTTGCATTGTCAGCTGAACAAGCTTCAGTCGAATAGAAGGCAATGGCAATGGAACATTCAGCACCTAGAAGAAACTGCCGCTGAACTAAGAAAGCGCATTGCAATGAAAGATTAACACGGCTGTAGGACAATGTAGAGCACAGAGCGTTCCCGCAAAAATTACGGGACAGAATGTTGAGAAATCATTTGGATTCTTTTTTGAAAAATGTATTTATTTTTATTAAAGTGTAGTTGACATACAATATTATATTTGTTTCACATGTGCAACACAGTGGTTCTACGTTTATATATCTTACCAGTGAGCTTCCACTATCAGAGGTCTGTCTTAATGACATATATTTTCTCTTTCTTGAATTAGTCCTTCCACCCCTACAATTGATAGCAGAAGATAGACAATAGGAATGCTTACAGAAGAAAAGTAGACTCTATGAACATTTTTCGTGTATAAGATGTACTCACAAATGCCTGTTTATAAACTGTTGCCTTCACTATTATATGAAGTAAAAATTTAGAAGAAAAGAAACACTTGAATTTACAATGATTTAAATTATTAAGATATTTAAATGGTTGTCTGTTTCAAACTTTATTAGAACTTGGTTTTTTTACTACTGCCTTCATAGCAGTCCATAAATACTAACATTTAAATAATGCCATATGTTCAATGCCTCACATATGTTTCTTAGTTTTCTCTTTCATTCAGAAGCTAGCAATCACTTTGTTATTAGATAACATATTTTTTGAGTGTTGCAAAGCATAAATTTTTTGTTCATGTTTCTGTCTACAAATTCTTTATTACTATTCTATGACTAAAGAAACATTGTGTAAGGCAAACTTATAAGCTCTTAAAAGAAAAATGTTAACCAATATAGACAAACTTTATTTTTGTTTGTTTGTTTTATTGAAAGGCAAATTCTCTGTCCATGGCAACAAATAAAAATTTTACTTGTCCCTTTTAAGGTAAAAGTGCTCTTTCTTATGGCTCCATTGAATAAAATTTTTTTAAGACTAAAAACAAAACACTAATTATTAAATACATGGTTTTTATTTTTTTAAGAAATTTAAATTTTGTTTTAATTATAGTTTACATTCAGTTTTATTTTTTTTGGTTTCAGGTGTACAGCATAGTGTTTAGACAATCATATACTTTACAAAGTAGCCCCCCCCATATTTTCAGTACCTTGTAACCATGCATAGTTATCTCAATATTATTGACTACTCCCTTATCCAGTACTTTACTGAATACATGGTTTTTAAATATTTGCTTTCAGATTTAATGATTTCAAATCAACAACATCAAAATGTTATCTCATGTTCATTTTCTCCTCACTTTTCTTTGTGCTTGAGATTAGTAAGCTATAGCTGATGTAAAACCTGATATTAATAGTATTATGTCTAACACTAATAGTCATTATGCATTAACATGGCTTATTACAGCTAACGCTTTAAATGGCTTATATTGTAACATAGTCAGCTTTAGTCCATGACTCAGAAACACAGCTAGGAATAAAAACAGTTAAAACTCGAAATTGTGGAATAAACCTACTATGCTCAGCTGGAGAACAAGGCTGAATCATTGTGTATTATATAAAAATATTTAAATATAATTTGCATATTTAAAAGGCTCTTTTTATAGTTATATTTCATAATTTTATTTAAAGCTAATAAAAGAAAAACTTTAGTTTCTAAAACTTTTTAAGTTTATAATAGGTTTTAAAATATTTGTACATAATAGCTAACACCTTGAGTCATATTTTTGAAAATTTATTTTTAAAGTAAGATATAAGGATCCAAGATAGTAGCAGAGTAGGTGGAAGTTACAATCACCTCCTCCCAGGACCAAACTGGAATTACAACTAAAATGTAGAACAATCAGCCTGAATAGCCAACTGAGGACGAGCTGGAGAGAACCCTCATGACCAAGGGTTTATAAAAGAAGCCCCATCAAGACTGGAAAAGAGGTAGGAGATGTGAAAAGGGCTCACCCTGCTCGCACAGGCTCTGGAGGGATATCTCAGTGGCAAAGGCTCCCCCTGAGGAGCGCAGGGTCTCAACCCCCTGCCAGCTGTTCTAGCCCAGAGCACCAGAGCTGGGAAGGGGCACCCACATAACACCTGGCTGTGAAAATCAGCAGAGGTTCTACCCACCAGGGACAGATAGGAGTCTGCTGGAGACCCAGGCACCTTCTTAAAGGGACAGCACACACAATCTCTTTTGCAGCAACTCCTTACCCTGAGCTCTGGCAGACAGAGGGTGGAGGGGACTAGAGTTGTATGAGGAAAAACTGGGGTTTGTGGCTTCGGGGAGAGGGCTGAAGGGACAGCAACTAGGGTACCTATGCCGAGTCACTCTCCCACACTACAGACGCCAACTTTCTTGGGTGGAGCACTCCGCTCCTTATGGCATCAACCTGGGGGAATGCAACAGCCCCACCCTTCAAACACCCTGTGGCCCACCCTGTGAAGCTCATCCTCTGCAGAAGAGGCAGCTGCCTGGGCCCAGGTGTAGAAGTCCAAGGAGACTCAGAGGCTGTCAGTGGCTGAGTTGTGTGGCTCAGTTGCAGGGGCCATTCCTCCCACCTTCCTGTGAGTCTGACTGGTGCCTTGTCCTCATGGAAGATCCACTAGCCCCACCTCCTGGACTCTCCAGGAGATTCAGGCAGAATCCAGGACAGATTGAGTTGTGTGGCTTTAGGATGGGGGCAGTTTTTTCCTTACACACCTGACAGATGCAGAGCCCTCACAGCATGCAGCCAAATCTTGGTCAGTTTGGACCTGATAAACTCTGCTAGCCTCATGCTGATGACTCCTTGAAACCCCACCATACCACAAAGGTCTGTGGGCACCTGGTGGGTAGAAGCTAGCCTTGGTAAAGCCTGGAACCTTTCTTAGTGGCTTCAGACCTAGCATTGGCACCAAGTTTGAACCTGTATCAGTTTGGAGAACACCACTTGCCTCTACCTGGTGACTAACTGAAAATCTACTTCATGCTACTTCAGTACCTCTAGAAGCTCTTTCAGTGACTGAGCCTAACAGGCAGCCAGCAGGTGGAGGCAGATCTAGGGGTGCCTTGGGCCTTCAGCTGACCTGCCCCTAGGGTTGGTGCTAATGAGAGCTGGCCTTGGTGCACAGCTTGGTCCTTCCCATACAAACACAAACCCAACAGAGGTAGCCACAAACTGTGGATTGCTTTGTAGTTCCAAACTGGTTACCCACATTCAGTCACAGAATCTGATATTGACGTGCACTAGCGTCCCTCCCAAGAGACCCCAAAACCAACACTCCCAGAGGCAAGCTTCATATAAAATCAAAGCAGGTTCCAATTAGCTCCACAAGCAACACATCAAAAGGAGATCTTGGCAGGAACTAGACACTGTTAAGGTGAATTCTACTTTGTGTGGTCAAGACCTGCACAGCAGCTTTTACACTGTAGTTGGAGTTGACCCTCACAGTTAGCTAGCCTGAGGGCCAACCCCATGCATAAATAGGCCAATAACAATCAAGACTCAATTACAACAGGAGAGCTTACATAACCCACACAAGGGACATTCTTAGAGCACCCAGGGCAGGTGATCAAGTATATTGTGCCACAAGGTCCCACAGGACACCAACTACATAAGGTCACCCTACCAAGACTGGGAGTAATAGCAGATCTACTTGACACATAGAAACAAACAGGAAGAGGTAACCAAAATGGGGAAACAAAGAAACATGCTTCAAATAAAAGAATAAGAGAAATCTCCAGGAAAAGAGCTAAATGAAATGGAGGCAAGCAATTTATCAGATATGGAGTTCAAAACAATGGCTATAAGAATGCTCAATGAGCCCAGTTGGGCGTGGCTCAGCGGTTGAGCATCTACCTAGGATCCAGGCGATCAGGGTTCGATTTCCAGTGAGGGCACATGCCTGGGCTGTGGGCTCGATCAATGACTCTCTCATAATTGATGTTTCTATCTCCCTCTCTCCCTCTCCTTTCCTCGCTCTGAAATCAATAAAGATTATATATATATATAAAATTAAAAAAAAAGAATGCTCAATGAACTTAGGAGAAGAATGGATGAAATCAACAAGAACTTAAACAAAGAGATAGTAATCATAAAAAGGGCATAGAAACCATGAAAAAGAACCAGTCAGAAATGAAGAATACAATATCTGAAATGAAAAATACACTAGAAGGAAGAAACAGTAGGTTGGAATAACAGAGGACTGAGTCAGCAATTTGGAAGACAAGGTAGAAGAAAACACCCAATTAGAGCAACAAAAAGAAAAATGAATTTTAAAAAATGAAGATAATTTAAGGGTCCTTTGGGACAACACGAAGCATAACAGCATCTACATCATAGGAGTACCAGAAGGAGAAAAAAGAACAAGGGGCCCAGAACCTATTTGAAGAAATAATGACTGAAAATTTCCCTAATCTGGTGAGGGGAAAAGACACACAAGTCCAGGAAGCACAGACAGCCCCAAACAAGATGAACTCAAAGAGGCCCACACCAAGACACATCATAATTAAAATTACAAAGGTAAAAGACAAAGAGAGAATCTTAAAAGCAACAAGAAATAGACAGCCAGTTACCTACAAGAGAGCTCCCATTAGACTGTCAGCTGATTTCTCAACAGAAACATTTCGGGCCAGAAGAGATTGGCATGAAATATTCAAAGTGATGAAATCCAAGGACCTACAACCAATACTATTTTACCCAGCAAGGCTATCATTTAAAATGGAAAGAAAAATAAGGAGCTTTTCAGAAAAAGAAAAGCTAAAGGACCTCATTACCACCAAACCAGTATTACGACAAATGTTAAAGGGTCTTCTTTAAGAAGTAGAAATTTAAAAAAAAGAGGAACATAGTTATAGAGAATACAATGGAAATAAATATATACCTATCAATAATCATTTTAAATGTAAATGGCTTAAATGTTCCAATAAAAAGACATAGAGTAAGGCCTGTTATTATACTCATGCCTTCTTCCTGACTCTTCAGTTTCTGGTATAAATGAGTCTTTCAAGGCTCCCAGTGCTTTGGGACTCAGTACATTTTTTCCACTCTCAAAATGCCCAGACTTATGCAAAAGAAAGCTATTATTTCAAGAATATTGTTTTTACTGTGGAGTTTTTTAAAAGCCTAATATGAAACTCAAAGCTGATCATGATGATTTCTTATATCTCAGCAGTATATGTCCTGACCCAAGCCTGCTAGGTTCTATTACCCAAACGATTAGGAAAATGTAACTAGTGTCAGGAAGCAGAGGGATAAAAAAAAAATCCCACAGCCTGGCTCGGCGTGGCTCAACAGTTGAGCATCTACCTAGGATCCAGGAGATCTCAGTTCAATTCTGGTCAGGGCACATGCCTATGTTGTGGGCTCAGTTCCCAGTTGGGGGCGCGCAGGAGGCAGCCAATGACGACTTTGATCGTTGATGTTTCTGTCTCTCTGTCTTCCTTCCTCTTTCTGAAATCAATAAGGATATATATATTTTAAAAATCCTACAATTAATATATCAAAATATTACTTACTATATGTGCAATCTATAGGAAAATTATAGTTTATCAATGTAAAGAAGTCGATATCTACTTTTTTTTTTTTTAATCCCCAAGGATATTTTTTCCATTGCTTTTCAGAGAAAATGGAAGGTTGAGAGAGAGAAATATCAATGTGAGAGAGACACATAGATTGGTTGACTCCTGTACTCACCCTGAACCGAGCTAGGGATGGAGCCTGCAACCAAGGTAAGTGCCCTTGGCCAGAATTGAACCCTGGACCCTTCAGTCTGTGGGCCAATGCTCTAACCACTGAACCAAACTGACTAAGGCTTGATATCTACTTTTAAGTGATATCTTAACCATGGAAAACACAAGATAATACATGTTAAAGCCAGTCAAGTCAGCCATCATGGACATGGTCATGGTCAATAAAATGATCTTTATGTTATGTTAGACTATGTTTTCCCAGTCAATTTACTAAT